TGTCATTATTTTCAATGATAACTCTATTTTCTACTGCAAATTAGTTCCATAATTTATTTATTCATTCCCTATGGATGAATATAACCCCTACAGATGAATTATTTTAGAAATACACATAAATCATTTTTTCACATCATATATATCTATATCTATATATCTATCTATATAGATATATATATCTCCTGGAACTCCTGGAACTCCTGGACCAATTATTGTAAATAACTGATGAGACGATATCAATGATAATTTTCATTATTACTGTGTTGTGTGAATGTGTCCATTTCCCTGCCCACATGGTTCAATGGCTCTAAAATGCACATATTTTAAAAATATGCTACATAAAAATATTGATTTTATTCATATAACAAAAATGTTAATGTTATTCATATAAATTCAATGAAGACAAACTTCATATTGAGTAAAATTATGTGTGTATATATACATATATATGAATATATAAATATTTACCTTTTTGGCCCACATTTTCTTTTCTTTTTTCATTTTTATTTTAGTTTTTTTTTTTGAGACACGGTCTCGCTATGTATTTCAAGCTGTCCTTGAACTCACTATGTAGTCCAGGCTGGCCTCAAACTTGAGGCAATCCTTCTGCCTGAGCCTTTGCCTCATACCTGGTTATGGCCCACATTTTCTATTTGGTTGTTTTTCTTTTTTGAAGTGCTCCCCCAACCCATTTTTATGAATTTCCTGAATAATGCTATGAATTTTTATGTCATATGAGTTACATAATTTTTCTTATTTCATCTTTTTAGATGCTCAAACTTTTTAATAACATGATATGTCTCCCAGTCCCTGCCCCAGTACTGGGGATTGAACTCAGAGCAAGTGCTTTACCACTCATTTACCTCCCTAGCCTGTTCTATTTTATTTTGAGACAGGGTCTTGCTAAGTTGCCCAGGCTGGCCTCAAACTTGCACTCCTCCAGGTTATTTTCATTTACAATGTAAAAACATTATGGTTTCATTTCAATTTGAGATTCTGTTTTTCTTACATGGACTAAAAGAAAATTCAGAACTACTTGTGACATATTGGCCCATTATCTGAATATTACCTCTATTTGAATTAGATCTTTGAGAATAGGAGCATAAAATTACAATTAGTGAATTTGCTATTCTTCATTACAGAGGTACTTTCCTGTGAGTCTTGATCACTAAAGACAAAATTGGCTAATTTGAAAGCATCTTAAAATGTAGAAATTTAAAATGAGAAAAAATACTGATTTTATTCATTTATTGTCAAAATTCATATAGCATTCTATAATTTACAAAAACATTTTCTTCTGTTGAATTTTATTGCTTATTAGAACAATTCTTTAAGTTGGATACCATTGTATCTGTTTTATATATGTGAAAAACAGAGTTTAGGAAAATGACATAAATTTTTTTTCTGTTATAAAATCATGGAGCTAATAATGTGCATAGGACATGATCAAGATTTAAATTCAGGTCTTTTAAGGACATTGTATTATTCTTACATAATTCTCCTTTCTTAATTTTGCTATTTCACTATAATAAACATGGAAAGCTTAGTGGCAAGCCTGTCCAATCATCTGTAGATAAGTGACTTCTTAAACTACAGAAAGTGACACAAAGATATTTCCATTATTCCTACAGAAGAAATTCTATCTGACAACCAGAGGTTTGATGCATTTTAAGCACTTAGCTAAGAGTAAAAGAAAACATTATATCGTCACTCTGGCTTTGGAAATTTTAGCCAAAGAAATCAGGGCAATTCCCTAGTCACACTCCATAGTGGCTGAGAACCTGCACCATAGGCACCCGATGATTCCCCTACAGAGTTAATTAGTTGGAGGAAGGAAGGAGGCAGAGATGAGCGTCCCCAGTGGAATGTGCTCTTGCATTACACTGCTTCTCCCAAGGTACAAGAACTGGTGTTTTCCTAAAGAGCCTATGTTACCTCTGATGATATGAAAGGCCATCATTTTAACAAAACAAGCATCTGATGGAAGCAATGCTATGAAGAGAGGCCAAGATCCGCGCTGTACATGTACAGAGGTGAAGTGAAATCCTTTGGCCTCAAGATGTCTGTGCTTCCGAAGGCTGTATATCTTCGCGCTCGCTTCAGTCTTGCCTACCGCCATGCTCCTAACAATGTCTTCCCCACCACGATCTCCCTTTCCTATAGCACCTTAAGACAGTGGGTGCCCATTTCCCAAAATATCCCCATGCTCGTTCTCTTTAGTGAGTCTCCTTTAGATGTCCTTTGTGAGTCTTAGCATGTGATGCTGGCAGCTCTTTCTCCTCTGTATGCTCCGTGCCACCTGCCCCGAGGGCTTGTGGGAACACCCTTGGTTCATTTCTTCTAGGCATTAACTATAGTGTAGTTTTCTTTAAAGTTACTCTCCAAGAGAAAAATTCTATACGACTGTATCTCTGGAAAGTGAGAATTCTCTTAGGATGGAGAAGAAATCAGAGGTGGTATTTGGGTACAGAAGATTTTGTTGCTTTTTCCAATAATTTAATTTTGTTAAAAAAAAGCATCAATGTAACTTTAAATGAAGGTATCCGAACCTACATTTCCTCCTGTCCTGGTCTTAGTCATTGTCAAAATATCATTGACTTTTACTTACTGCGACTTCCTCTGCCTGTGAGAGTAATTCACAATGTGCCTTTAAAAACTCATTATTTAGTTGTTAATACCCAAGAGGGAACTTCTTTTCTGAAGCATCGTGGTACCTGAGATGAAGAGGAATTCTCCTGAGAAAAGAGTTGCCAGCTAAGAAATAAAATCAGAGGATATCCACCTAAACTTGAAGTTCAGATAAACAAGTAACCTTTTAGTATTAGTGTAGTCCAAACACTGTGTACTTATTTATGGGATATACTTATATCAAATGCAATCTCATGCAAAAATTATTAAGATGAGGGCCGGGAATTTAGCTCAGTGGTTCTGCCACCTGCCTGGCAAGCACGAGGACCTGAGTTCGATACCCACTACCAAAAAAAAAAAAATTATTAAGATGAATGTTACACTAAACAGTCATTACTATTTTATTTGAAATTCAAATTTAACCGACTAGTTTAAATTTTATCTGGTCACCCTACGTGAGAGTGGGTTTCAGATTTTACCAATACCATAGCCGGATTATGTCAGAGGAAGCAGCATGTTTTTAAACCCACACGAAGTGGAGTACTGTGGCAGTCTTCTCCATTGTGAATGGCCTGGGAAGGGGATTAGTTCAAAGATGCATGTGTATCCTTTGGAGTCCATCACTCAGACACCTCAGATCAGGGTAGATGATAAGATATATCTGTTTAATAGTGTTGCATAAATCATGGCTTGTAGCTACTCATGGCTCCTTCTGGAGGCATTTCATCTTAATTAATTGCTATCCTTTTGTACTTTGTCCCTGAGGTGATTTTTTAAAAAAAATCTTAATTCTATGAATCTAATGAGTAAATTTCTAAGTCTATTAAATATTGACATTTGAAAATATTTGAAGATTGCAGTAAGCTTCACTGAGACACAGGACAAGGCAAGATAAATCAAATATAATTGCCGCTGAAGTCCATAAAAATAAAAAGCTCTCCAACGTGTTAACTAAAACATCACCCCTTCAGAGCATGTGTACAAATCATGTCTCAAATTTCCACCCCACAGTAAGTTTAACTGATACTGGTTACAGTTCAACTGCATCAGATTTAAAACAAACCTAAATTCAGAAAGTGAGACTGGGATCTATTACACTCTAAAAGAAACCTGTTACAAACTTGAATATATGAAGTCCAACAATTTTCGTACATTTGGATAAATCCATTGATGGGGGAGATATATCACTGTGCATCACAGCTAAACTGCCATTGACTAGCCTTGATGACTTTTTAAAAAAAAAAGATTATATAAATTCTGCAGCAATTCAGTTTTCAATTTCAAAAACAGAGTGTTTGGTCTTAAGATGAGAAAGGGAATCTGTAAGTATTGTTATCACTCCTCTCAAAATTCTACAACGATATAGTATAGATCAGTGATGGTGTAAGTTCTTTGCTTTTCTTAACATTTTGAAGTGAAGTCTAAGTACCGTCCCTTAAATCTAGATGGGTCTTAGTGACTCTTTTAAACAGCAGAATATAGGCTAAGTGACACTCCAGGAGTTTTCAGACTATTTCATAAAAGGCCCTTGAGTTCCAGCCTCTTAAAACTCACAGTCCCAAGATGACAAAGGAAGACTTGGGGGAGGCCACGTGTCTGCTGTGGATAGGCTGGTCCAGCTGAATCCAACCTTCTAGCCATGCCCCCTGGGCACCATGTGAGGATACCAATCAGCCCTCCAGCCCAGCCCACCTGCCAGCCCGGGGGGTGGTGGTGGTGGTGGTGGTGGTGGTGGAACTCTGTTGATGCCTCAGGGAACAGAAAAGCACAGCCAAACCCTGATGGAATTCCTGGCCCATGAAATCCTGACGTCATAAAAGGTAGTTATTTTAAGCCACTAAATTTAGAGTCATTTGTTCACCAGATCACCAGAATAAGCACTGATGTATTATTGATCTTTATACTTAACAAGTAGTAGAATGAGGGAAAGAAAAGAAAGATGTGTTGATTGGAGAAGATGAAAAGGGAGTGGTGTGGTTAAATCCTCTAAGAAGAGACCATAAATGTCACAGACACCAAGAAAAGATGAGCTAGGGATTTGGATGGAGGACCTATAGTGAGTTTAAAGAAATCAGAATCACAATTTTTAACAGGCTGCTACCATGATTTTAGGCAAACTTACCACTTTGCTTGGTTTAGAGATTCAGAGAACAGTAAAGTTTCACCTCATGCAAATGCTGTAAATGGTAATGCATAAACATGACAAATAAATATGCAACAAATACAATCTAAAAACGCTAAATATGTAAGAAGCAATCTTTGTACCTACTAACGATAACGATCCTTCGTCAGGTGATTTCAGATTGGAGGAGTCTCGGGAGAAAATAACACTGAAAATATAAACCGATTTTTATTTTTCGTGCTTTTATTGAAAAGGTACATTTAAAAAAATACACAGACATTTTACCATTTACAGGTTGCAGATATAGGTGCTCTAAAAGAGATAGCTCTATTCTGTTGTTTTATGATTACCACTTGCCCCTGACAGCACAAACATTCCAGTCTTGTTGACATCAGCCTAAAAAGGGGGGCAGGGGAGCATGACCTGCGATACTGTCCGCAAACAGAAAGACAAATGGTTCAATTATAAATTTTATATCTTCTGTACATTATTGCATTAGGGAGCCACAAAATCATGTAGCGTCATTACAAATAAAAACAGGTTAAAATGGAAATAATGATGTAGAAACACAGGGATTCATTGTGTTCTTGCAGAATGCACAGGAGGTGCGAAAATGTGTGACTGAGGACGCTCTTTTTGTGTTTGTATTTGCTTAGCAACTCAAACTGGTGAATAGGCTACAAAATAAGTTAAACAAAAGTAGCGAAAAGGTAGTAATTATAGCTATGGTATATGGCTTTCTATTTTGTTTAAATATCTCCAAATAAAATGCGAAATAAAGAAAATACATTATCTTTTGTTCTCGTAAAGAGAAAATTCAAAGCTACTTTGCTTCCTAACATTTACACAGCAACTAAAAATGCTGACTTCCGACGAGAGATACGATCTAGTACTACACAGGATACAACAATACTTGGGTCTAAAACAGTACACAATCCCTGTCAACAACAGTACACCAAAAAGAAAACGTCGTGATCCATTGGTAAATGGTTTCCACAAGTAAGCACTTGTGTTCTATATTGTTCCACACTAGAATATGCCCGGTTGGATTCCAGAGTTATTTACAGACATCTGAGGAAGATCCCAGTTTTCAAGTCTGTCAGGAAAATATTCCGTATTTTCTAAGCCAGATCACATCCATGGGAAAATAGAGATTGATTTTTTTTCTGACCAATTGAGTGGGGTAGGCGAGAGGGGAACCAGGAGGTAAAGCCTACTGCTCACATTCCTAAATGACAGGAGCGGTCCATTAAAGCACTCTGGAATCTAGCGATTGGTTTTTCTTTGGAGTTGGGGTTCAGGAAGGCAGGCTGCATTTTGTGGGTGCGTGTGGGGTACTTACTGCAACCCGAAATGCTCACACTGCTGCAATCCTTTACGTTTTTCTTCTCAGCGTTCCTACTGGCCTGGATTGTCTTGGGGTTTGCAGAAGTCAGTAAGGGGCGAAGAGGATGGAGGCGGGGGTGGCGCGGATGGGCCCGTGCCCCGGCCTCAGGAGAGCTGGGGGGATGGCTGGAGCCTGGAACAGCGACGCAGACGGCCGGGGTGGCAGTGACAGCGCAGAGGACACGGCGGCCGCAGCTGCCAGGGGTGAGGACAGGAAAGCCGGGGCCAAAGGCTTCATCATATCTTTCTGGAATGCAAGTTTTGCCTAATGGAGGGAGAAAAACCAGGAGTTTGGCGAGGATGTTGTTTTGGAATAACAGTACTACAGATATATTTCCATAGGTAAAATATATTAGCATTAACAAGCTTTTTTAAATAATAAAAAAAAAAGCTGTCAGAAGTCCAGAAGTGATTATATTCACGAAGCTGGCTTCAGTGGCTCTCAGCATAGCTTTACTTTGATTTCTTTCCATTTCAGCTCTTTTTTGATCTTTGATCCTGGTTCCTACGGCCTAGGAAGTCTCCCTAAGAAGACACAAACGTACTTAGCAAGAGTAAGATACATCTGCTGGCTCCCGTTTAGGCAGCGGAGCTCAAGATTCAGACTTAAACTGGCACGTGGCCTAGGGAGAGGTTTTTGTGCTTTTGTTTTGGAGAAGCATAACCCGTCCTTTCACTTCTTTTAGATAAATTGCATTGAGGTTAGGTAGCTGGGCTTTAGGAAGGGACCCACAGAGTCAAAAAAACAAAGTCAATTTCTATTGCTCCTACAGTATTCCCTGAGAAACTGCAGCTAAATAGAGTTTCTGTTGCAGAGAATAGCTATAAGTAGGCTAGAAAGTTTCTCTACTTAAAGGAATCCCTGAGCAGAATCTTCCTGGAAAGTAAGAAATCAATCTTTAATTTCTCTCTTTGCAATCAGGAGGAGCTGTGCAAGCTGGATTTGCTCACTGCAGGTACTACCTGCTGGCAGCATCAGGAGGAGGCCCTGGAAGGTAATCTCAGCATCACCTTGCCTCCAGCTGCCCAATCCAGCCTCCTCTCAGACTGAACATTATGCTGGGCAAAGTCCCAGGGAGACTGAAATCCATACGTCTGGCCATTTATGTGACACCTATTGCTGAAGTCTCTAGGATTTTTTGCTAAGAAACTGAAAACAGTGCATATTGAGACCAAGTAAAACAGGCTCATTACCAGCATGCCTGCTATAGAATAGAAAGAGCAATACAAATACATGTTGCACACACATGCTCGCCCACAAGCTGGAAAACAGGAAGATATTAAATTCAGTGAATAGATTTTTGCTTTCATGAAACCACTTCCCTCAGGTTCACATGGCCTCAAACCCAGGATCTTAATGCCGCAGCCTCTCAAGTGGCTAGGAGTATAAGCAGCCACCACCATGCCCAGCTTTATTTTTTTTTAACACGGTTAAGAAAGTTTTTTGACAAGGTCTTGGTAAAAGAGTCAGGTGTTAGCTTTTAAAGAGGTTCAGTTTCCCTTTTCTAAGGAAGCTTTGTTCAAGGTGTCCTATAGCACAAACTCAGAAGTTCATTCTAAAATTTCCACCAATGAGGGCTATTTAAATTCACAGCTTTTAGGTTGTGACTTTAGCATGTAACTCAGTGGTAGAGCACTTGCTTAACATGTGTGAGGCCACGGTTTCAAGTCCTAGCATGGCAAAAAGTTAAAAATGAGAAAAATAAGGTATACATGTAATCCCAGCACTGTGAGAGGCTAAGACAGAAGAATCTCAAGTTCGAGCCCAGCTGGGGCAATGGCGTAACTGTCTCAAAAATAAAAAATAATAAAAGGACCTGGGAATGTAGCTTCATGTGAAGGCCATGGGTTCAATCTCTTGTATAATGTTAATGACTAGGCAATCAGTGTACAACTTTTCATGATCATTAGTTCATAAGCTCTCTGGAAAGCCCATGTCCAACTCAGCAAGTTGGCCCCACAAAGCAGGTGAGCAGATGAGGTAAACTTACTGCTAGAATGCTGGGGCTCCGCTGGAGTTTGTTGTATGGGCTGTATTTCGGCTTCAGGGGTTTCCCTGCAACTCGGTCTTTATGCCTTCGGCTAGAAATGTGCTGAAAAAAGTTTGAGGAGTTAGCTGAGTCGTGAATGTATTTCCTACACAGAGGTAGCTGGTTTCTTCATTCTCAGCTCTAGGTCCTCTGTTCAAATATGGTTTGGGTAAAATCTTTAGGACTTCTCAATTAAGACTTGCTACCACTTGACTGTAATGTTTCCATCCTCCTTTGCTCCACAGCCCTTACCAGAATTTGCTCGGTATCACCCCTTTTAAAGACAAGTCTGTTTCCCTAAGCAGATTTGGGTTCTTGACAGACTGGCTCCTGCTGGACTATATGCACCATGCTCTCTGACACCTAGCCTAGAACCCAACATAGACAGTAATGCATGCTAGAATGTTGGCTACTGACTCCCCTTTCCACACAGCATTTGTACGTTATGCATCCTCTAAAGGTTAGAAAATTCAGTGGGGAGCACAGTGAAAACCATTTCACGGATGAGGAGATTACTGACAGTAGAAGGGTGGCCCCAAACAACAGGGTACACGAATCCAGGATACATTACCTGTTTGAGTTGAATTTCGGAATTAACGTGAACATCACAGATTTCACAATGAAACGTCTTGTTCTGGAGTCCTGACCCCTTACTGCCATTCTGCGTCTTTAATCTCGATCCTGGTCTAGGGTAGGACTTAATTGGACCAGCTCCATTGCGAGCCTCAACCATGGTCTTGTGTTTAGACCCTAGGATGGGAAGAGACATACTTTGCATGGCTGCTTAGAGCTGTAGGAAATTCCCTGTTGTATTAGGCTTGAGAGGTTTGTCTTTGGGCTGAAGTTCCCAATGCTGGTTAGGATCACTTTAGCACTGATTATACATTTAACATACTTTTATGGTAAAAAATGGAACAACGTAAGAGTATATAATAAAGTATGGAAAACATAAAGGAGCCTAAGAAAATAAGGGATTCCTAGATTTTTCACTACCCAAAGTAACCACTGTCACCCAGCTCTTTGTTTTTTGCATAGTAAAAATATATTTTAAAATTGGGATTATGATAAATAAAAATCTGAAATCTTCGAATATCAAATCAAGTTCATATTTTCTTATCATTACATTTTAATGGCTGGGTAATGTACTCTATCACATTGGGCCACTGTAATTTATTCAATATTTCTCTACTGATGGATTTTTAAGTTGTTTTCATTTTTTCCTCTTATAAGTATGTAACAATATTGTGCAGAAAGTTTTGTGTTCATTTCTTATACTTCATCAAAATGTAAAATGAGTTTTACCAAGTATTAGATGCCTTTGAGAAAATAAATAGAGCAAGTTTTATCTCCAACCTGCTTTTGCTTTGCTTGTTTCCAAAGTCATTAGGATCATATTTTTCTAAAACATTCCTTTGGATCAAAAGGGTAGAGAAGACATTGAACAAACAATTTCTGAACAATAGATGTGATATACTAATGGGAAAAGTTGGGTTTTGTTGTAAAAGTTATTTAGATTCAAAAGATAGTGGCTTACCTGTATTGTGTGCCTCTAGCTGTGACAGGGAGTTCACAGCCACTTTGCATAGTGAACAATAAAGCAATTTTTTGGCTTTTTCTTCTTCTGATTCAGCAATGGCCCCAGGAGCTCCATTTGTACTCTTGGAGGGTGAAGTGGCTGCTGCAGGTGGCAGGGCAGCTGTGCCAGGTTTGAGGAGCAACGAGCCACCTTCGGAGCCTGCTGGCTGACTGGGACTGTTGGCTTTTAATTTCCCTTTATCTTCTAAGGAAGACACAGAGATACTGTTAATGCCTTATTATCACACAAACACAGATGAATCACCGTAAAGGAATTAAAATAGAAAATTGACTTCTATCTTAAATAGAAAGACTCACTGATACAATTTTTACACTAGCACAGATTTTACTTCATAAAGCTGGATTTAAACAGAATCCCAAGCCATCGGTTTCCATATTAGGTCACTTCAAGATCATGGTGACTCATGAAGGAAGAACTTCGTTCTCTTCCTTAAAGCAGGCAATTTTCTGTCTGGTATCCTTACGTTATAAGCCATGCTCTAGAGAAGGCTTTAATACAAAAATCAGCTACCCCTACACGAGATGATGGTAACATGAAGGAAGGCATTAGCTGATGTTATTCTCGCTGGGCCACTCGTGTTTTAATTTCTTTCTTTTTTGAGACAGGGTCTCACTATATGTTGAGACTGACCTGGAACTCACTATGTAGCCCAGGCTTGTCTCGAACTCACAGCGATCCTCTTGGCTCAGCCTCCCAAGTGCTGGGATTACAGGCATACGCTACCACACCTGGCCTCGTGTTTTAATTATGACATGGATAGAAAGTTAAAGTTTAATTTTTACTTCAGGTTAAAATTTTTAACTTTGGGTTCTAGGGTGGAGGAGAGGGAAGAAATGTGGTTCATTTTCATTATGATTAGTCAAGTTTTTGCTGTTCTTTGAATGGCAATGAAATTTAGCCAAAAAATAAGGGACAAGGGTTGTATACATTATACTTGTTAATCACTGCCAGTCTAAATAAAACGTTTTCAATAATGACATCAATCATAAGTATAATATGAAAATTAGCCAAATCACCTAAAGATATTTCAGCATTTTGATCATGTAGATATGAATGCTTATAATCCTTGAGGCCTATGTGCAGGCTATGAGGGGTCAGAGTGACTTTCACGGAATCTGGAGTTCATTTACTATTCAAGACAGGCTCACTCAGGGACTCTTTTGGGAAAGAAACCCGAGCATTGTAGGCAACAGCAAAATCCACCCCACACTTAATTCTAGTAGTGTCAGTACTCTTAGAAAATGTCTATAGATATGCTGATTAACTCTCATTAAGAGAAAAGGGAATTCAGACTGAAAATATAGTTGTTAATTGCTCTAGCTAATTCAGAACTACGTGCCATAGGCTTAGATGACCAAGAGGGAAGGAGTGACCCGAAAATAGTAGTGTTGTGTTTCTACGTTTGCATTACAAGAGTCTGCATGTGAGCAAACCAAGGCTTTCAGGACTCAGAAATGGTGAGAGATCCTATTTTTTGTTTTGCTTTTGAGACAGGGTCTCACTATGCAGTTGAGACTGACCTGGAACTCACTGTGTATTCCAGGCTGGTCTTGAACTCACAGTGATCCTCCTGCCTCGGCCTCCCAAGTGCTGGGATTACAGGCGTGTGCCATCACATCTGGCCTGGAGATCCTATTTTTAATAATACTTTGAAAAGCCTCACAATTTGGAGATCAGCGGTCAAGGTCCATCTCTTTTGCTTGAGCTGGAGCCATCGAGGTATGTTAAGATTAGACACAGTAAGAGTGATAAAGAGGGATTCGAGGTCTGAGTGTCATCATAGGGTCCTACATTCTATGTTCCTTTTCAGCAAGTATACTAAAACCTGCAGGAGAGGGCCGGCTGGGGATTTAGCTCAGCGGTTTGGTGCCCTGCCTTGCAAGCGCAAAGACCAGAGTTCAATCCCCGGTACCAAAAAAAAAAAAAAAAAAAAAAAA